TCTTAAAATTTATAGAGATTCCCAGAGAGCTTTTCCTTACGTGAGTCATATTTTTCTATATTTACCATATTAGAAATTAAACCTCAAAAAATTTAGGGGCCCCTGGGGGCTCAGTCAGTTAGTGAGGCGTCCAATTCTTGATTTCAGCTCAGGTCATGATCTCACGGTTCGTGGGTTCAAGCCCTACCTACATTGGGCCCTGCACTGACAACATGGAGCCTGCTTGGGATTCTCTGTCTCCCTCTCTCTCTGCCCTTCCCCTGCACATGCTCTCTCTCTCTCTCTCTCTCAAATTAAAGAAATAAACTTTTTAAAAAAATTAAATATTCACTTACAAATCTTTTTTTAATTTTTTAAATAATTTTTAAGAAGTGTTTTAATGTTTATTTATTTTTGAGAGAGACAGGAGACAGAGCGTGAGCAGGGAGGGTCAGATAGAGAGGGAGACACAGAATCGGAAGCAGGCTCCAGGCTCTGAGCTGTCAGCACAGAGCCCGATGCGGGGCTGGAATTCACAAACTGCAAGATGATGACCTGAGCCCCTACATATCGTTTTTAAATATTTTAAAATATTCATTTACAAATAACGATAAATAAATCCATTACAAGTGTATGTAATCTTATGAAACAGAACTGTATTTTCCAAACAAGAAGAAACCGAATTAGAAGAATGGCACCGTTTTACATGTTTGCTGATCCCTGTGTTGTCTGGCTTCACAGAAGGCAGCTGGGTTCTCCGATCTGGTTCTGCATTCAATCTGTTGCATTATCACACATCATGTAGCTTTTCAAAACCTCCAACATATACTTGTGAAAAATTGAGAATGAAAATAGCAAATACTGTCTTAGAGTTCTCATAAGAAAGAGTTTTGACTTCCCCGACCCCCGAAAGGGTCCTTCCTGTGGGGTCACGGAGAGAACGAGTAAGTGACTCGGCCACACGGCTGGGAGTGAGGCCCAGGCAGTGCAGAGCCGGGGCTGCCCTCGGACCCGGAGGACAGCAGCGGAGACCCGCTTCGTGACGTTTTCCATTGTGGTGCAACTTCAGATGCAGTCTCTCAATCCGTGCAAAGCAGCGGTGAGGTGAGGAGAAAGGAGAGTGACCTCCGCAAAACTCGTCCCTACGGGGGCCCGGGGCTGCCGCAGGAGGAGAACGGCGGCGCATCATGCGGCGGGGGGCTGGGGGCTGGGGGCGGGGTGCGGGGGGAGCCGCCCCGCAACAGCGCCCCCTGCGCGACCGTTCTCCGCGCGTCCAGACCCTCACTCTGCCAGACGCTTCTCCGCGCTCCTCCTGACAGAGGCTTCCGCCTTCAATTCCCTTTTCCCCCAGTTTCACTGAGAGACAACGGACACATGGCGCCGTGTCGGTGTCACGGACGCCGGGGCACGTGACCGCAACAGCACCAGCCCCGCCCGTGCCCTTATACAGACGCGACAGGAAGAACGAGGAGAGAGAGGGGTCCTCGTGACAGGAGCTCTCAGGACTTCCTTCCCTCACCTCCTCCCCACGAACCACCAGCGGCCTCAGCTGCGTCCCCTGTCGTGCGTCACACCCTGGTGCGCACTCCTAACTGGAGGCTCGTTCGGGCCACCGGCCTCCTCCGGCTCGCTCCTGCAGCCCCGCGTCTGTAACCACAATCTGGTCTCCTTTCCGGAGTCTGTTCTTTTTGTTTTTAGATTCTAAAATTCTTAGATTTTAGATTTCTAAAATTTAGAAATTTTAGATTTGCATTTTAGATTCCGCAAATGCATGAAATCATCCGGTATTTGTCTTTCTCTGGCTTATTTCATGAGCAGAATTCCCTCAGGATTCAATCGTGTTGTCACCAATAGCAGGATATCCTCATTTTTATGGCCGAATAATACTCTGTTGTGTATCTATACCACAACTTCTTTTCCATCCATCGATGAACACTTAGGTTGTTTCCATGTCTTGCTTTTTTTTTTTATTCCTTTTTTTTCACTTTTTAATGTTGGGTTTTTTTGTTTTTTTTTTTTTTTTAATTTATTTTGAGAGAGAGACAGAGAGCACAGGGGAGGGGCAGAGAGAGAGAATCCCAAGCAACCTCGTGCATCAGTGCTGAGCCCAGCGCAGGGCTCGAACTCACAAACCATGAGATCGTGACCTGAGCCAAAATCAAGAGTCAGCCGAAATAAAGAATTTTTCAATTCTTAATCAAAAGAATAGCAACAAAGAGACTAGTTCTATCAGATATTAAACCATGTATTAAATTTCCAGCAATTCATATTGGATTGACCTAGTGCTTCCAAAGGTAAAACAGCAGATCAGAATGCACAGCCCAAATCAGATCCAATTAGAGAAAAGGCAGTATATTATAAAGTAGGCATAACAAACATGTTTAGCAATTTGGGGGAAAAAAACAAAAGTCTGTATGTAGACCTTCACTTTTAACCACATGACCAACTAAACTGTAGCCACACTAGCTATTTTTAAACAGAGAGCCTGCCGAGGGGACAGGCAGGGCAGATCTCGTCATCACTGCGTGCCCAAAGCCTGGGCTGGGTCGCTGCTCAGGCTGCACAACCAGAAGGAGTTAATCTGAGTTCCAGCTCAGCCACTGGCCCCTTGTGCCCTCCTGGGCAAGTCCCTTCGCTTCTCCCTCCTACGAAGAGTGCATAGGAATGGTATCAGCTGTATGAGAACACTCATTATACACACGAATGAACAGAATGGGGGCATGTGGATGGCTCAGTCAGTTAGGCGACCGACTTCGACCCGGGTCATGATCTCGCAGTTGGTGAGTCCGAGACCCTCGTCAGGCTCTGTGCTGACAGCTCAGAGCCTGGAGCCTGCTTCAGATTCTGTGTCTCCTTCTCTCTGCCCCTCCCCCACTCATGCTCCATCTGTCTCAATAATATAATAAAAATTTAAAAAAAACACAAGTGAACAGAAGGAATAAAGGTTAGAAAGCTACATTCATCCTTGTTGCTACTACTTGAATATGCTTAGCATTGCTATTTTACTAGGTGAAACAACATCCATTTTCTCAGTAACCTTCTTTATGTAATAAAGTAGGCAATTTAGGTTGTAAATATAGACACTTTTCCTCGGGGCCTCAAGAAAAATTTTAAATTTTGAATGAGAAAAAGATAAACCTCCCCATAAGCACGTTTCTTTCTCCTGAATGAGCCCCTGTACCAGGAAAATAGCCGGCATCATAGCTCTTCGAGATCTGAGAGATTTTCTTTTCAGATTTTCTCGAGCAAACAGTTTACCTTCTCTTTGTCTCCAGAAACTAGAGACGCCAACTGCTGCCACACAAATAAAAAGACTGAGATGAGGGACGGTCCACGAAGCCCCCCGCACCCAACAACAGGTCACCTGTCAGACACAGGCCTCGAGCAAATGCTGCTTTCTCTTCTCTGCTCCCCTGGTCTCCCTCCGGTTCTCCCTGACCTCTCTAACAGTACCTCTGTCCCCCGCCCCCTGGGGAACCTGCCAGCCTCAGCAGGAGGTCGGAGGCGAAGGCAAGAGCCATCCTAGGATTTTGTCATTCCTGCCACATGCTCCCTGCCTCACCCCAAACCCTATCACCAGTCCCACGGCCCCACCGGAGGGATGTCTTCCTCCTATGATACCCACCTTAAGGGTAAAGTGCCCCCACCCGGGGTGTCACCCGGGGGGCCCGCACTGTGGCCAGAGCACCTGGAGCCCAGCACGTGAGCCGCACACACCCTTGGCAACAGCTGAGCCAAGGCTCACATGAGGCCTACTGCACTGGTGGTTCCGGAACATCATTCCCAACCGTATCCCCTGCTTCGAGGCCCACAAACATGGCTGAGGTATAAAACTCAGCTTTATAAAGTAATGAACGGTTTGCCCCGTCTCAGTCTCCACTCCTGCAGTCCTTCCTTGTGCCCTCAGGTGTGGAGACGCTAAACGGCACTCACGGTTACAACATGTTGCAAACCAGATAAAACCAAACCGTGGTTCCCCCGGGGTGGCTCCTTTGAAGCGCTCAGTCCCTGGACCAGCCCTGGAGAGCGATGGCACCAGCCTCCAGGCATCAAACTGCTCTCTTCCAGGAGCACTTCTGTCACTTCCCACTGCTTCACTGGCCTGTGTCTTCGCTTCTGAGTTTCAGGACAGTGATCCCACCAAACGGTCCTCAGTCAGCTCGGTCTCCTGGAAGGAGGGTCCCATGGCCTCTCGGGCACATCCAAGGCCTGGACCCACGACCCCTGCTGCTCTCAGGGACAGTCTCTTCTGCCTTTCTTTCTGGTCTCAGACTACTCTGTCCCTGGTGATCCATCCCCGATCGAGCGGTGTTCATGCCTCTCTCTCCTCTTGTGTGTTCTTCTGTTTGGGTTCTTTTCGTTCTTTTACTTGGGGAGCATATCACTGTTCGGGCATTATTAACCTTTCTTTGTAATTCCTGGCTCGATCACACAGAACCTATTTATTTTATTATTTGAAATAAATTTTTTACATTTATTCACTTTTGAGAGACAGAGAGACAGTGTGCGAGCAGCAGAAGGGTAGAGAGAGAGGAAGACACAGCATCCAAGGCAGGCTCCAGGCTCTGAGCTGTCAGCACAGAGCCTGACGCAGGGCTCGAACCTATGAACTGTGAGATCATGACCTGAGCCGAAGTCGGACGCTTAACCGACTGAGCCACCCAGGCGCTCCACAAAACTTATTTATTTTAAAAGCAAATTCCATTCATTCAACTCAACCAAGAGTTACCAGGCACCAGCTATGTGTCCAGCAATCATGGGACAGCAAGGGTCACCTCAATGACAGAATTTTCAGTCTGGAGGTTGCAATGGGCAATGTGGATACTCTTTTCACCAGATTATAAAGAATAAGAAGCAGTACTAACATGAAGCAATAGCTAGTAAAGGCCTTCCACAGAGCACAGGGAAATAAATACTTTAAACAGCATCAGAAATCCAAGGCCTGGAAAAAGAAAAGAGCCCTTTTCTATTTTAGGAGTTTGTATCAGTAATTTAGAATCAGAACAAAGACATTTCCAAACCTCACATCCACTGTATTATTCGCCTCGTGGTCGAAGACTTCAAAAGCCTCTTTGATTTTTTTGTGGAACTCTGGTACGAGTATCTCTGCAAAAGACAAGGTAAATGAATATTGTTTTCATAACTCTCCCTTTGAATTCCAAACAGAAATGTCGATCGCTTGGCTAGAACTTCTCAATAAAGAAGCATGTGCGGAAGGCTTTCCTCATCGGAACGCATGACGTAGTGTGCTTACCTTCCACCAGTGAAATCAGAGAATGGACGGAGCCTTGTGTCCCGGGGCATGAGACACACACACTGTAGCATCAGAGGACCTACCCCTCTGAGTACCCAGCTTCACGCACGAGGTTCACATGTCTATACGGTCACGGTGCCACCGCGCAGATGAAGACACAGCTTCCAACCCAGCGCATCTTCTGTCCCAAGTAGTTTGGGCAGAGTCCCAGCCGAACAGGCAGAAGGAACCCAGCACTAGACACTGACTGTAGGTCACCAGTGGCCGCCTGCCCTGCTTTATTCTGAGCTTGAGGACGGTGGAACCCGGGGGCTGGGCGGCAAGCAAAAGCCACATGGGACATGCTCTCAAAGAGCTTTCAAACTTGTTTTTGAGACTAAGATTTACTTCTCTGAACCAATTAAGTCATTTATTCGGTATTTATTGAGGTCCTACTATGTGCTGGACACCTTGTCAGTGCTAAGGTTATAGCAAGGAGCAAAATGGACAGAACCCCTACCTCATGGAGCTATTTGTATTGGGGGAGATACAGAAGCTCACATATTGGTTAAAAATATCCTGTAAGGCAAATGGGGATGGAAAATGTAAAGCAGGGAAGGGAGGTGAAGAGTGCTGGGGTGTGGGTGCCCTGGCCTCACTCACACACTCTCTCTTTCTCTCTCAAAATAATAAACTTTAAAAAACACCCTCTTTTCCATATTTTCTAAATTTTCTACAGTGTGCTTTTTCACACCCATTCCTCCAGATGCTTCGATATAAATGACTTCGGTGACCAGCATTCCTGGGAAACTTTGAACATTACAGCCTCCTCCTGGAAATCTGTGAGGCGTCTTACTCTGGGTGCTCTACAGCAAGGACACCTGTTCACTTTACCCCAGCGTCTTCCAAATGTGCCTGATCACGGCATCTCCTTTCTCCAAGTATCCTGTGTCGGGAATAATGCCGGGATTGGACTCTGGGACTTCAACAACTCAGGAATCCTCACCTACCGGACACTGGCAACACGTGAATGGATAACGGTCACCAAAAATACTGGTCCTCTCATCCTTCACTGTGGCCAGAGGAGGCAGCAGCTGAGTGCATCTGTCTGTTCCAGGGCTTCCCAGGAGGAGGCTCAGGGGAGCACCGATCTGACAGCCACGCGCCTTCATCTGCACAGGTGGCAAGCTCAACGAATGGCATCAGACCTGCTGCCCCACATCACCACAAAGGTGACCTATGTCGTTGGCTCTCATTTCAGAAACCATATACCAGGGGCACCTGGGGGGTTCAGTCAGTTAAGCGTCTGACTACAGCTCAGGTCATGATCTCATGGTTCATGAGTTCGAGCCCCATGTCAGGCTCTGTGCTGGCAGCTCGGAGCCTAGAGCCTGTTTCAGATTCTGTGTCTCCCTCTCTCTCTGCCCCTCCCCTGCTCATGTCTCTCTCTTTCTCTCAAAAATAAACAAACATAAGAAAGAAAGAAAGAAAGAAAGAAAGAAAGAAAGAAAGAAAGAAAAAGAAAGAAAGAAAGAAAGAAAGAGAAAGAAACCATACACCAAATACGTCCCTGCCCACCAAGGACAAAGGACCCAAGAAGCTGCTGGAGAGGCTCATGTTCTTGATGTCCAAGGAGCAATGTGTGCAACCCAATCTGTGATCTGGTGGGACTGAGGGGATTCGTGGCTCTGGGGAGCAGCCCCACATCCCTACCTTCACATAAATCACCTACTTCTGTCCCTCTGCAGCCGATGTGTCTCTCTTTTTTTTTTTAATGTTTTATTTATTTCTGAGAGAGAAAGAGAGAGAGCGTGAGCAGGGAAGGGTCAGAGAGAGAGGGAGACACAGAATCTGAAGCAGGCTCCAGGCTCTGAGCTGGCAGCACAGAGCCCGACGCAGGGCTCAAACCCACGAACTGTGAGATCATGACCTGAGCCGAAGTCGGATGCTTAACCAACTGAGCCACCCAGGTGCCCCCCGATGTGTCTCTTTAGCAGCCTGCTACATGGTTCTAACAACACATGCATGCATGTTACATAAATTACATCTTCATCGTTATCTTGAAATAATTGATCTGAGAAAGTTCAAATGGGTTAAAAAGCAGTGTGCATTATTAAAACTTTTTCTAAATTATATTTGCCAATTAAGGGCTACATTTTTAGATTACATAAATATAATTTCAACTGTTAGCATTTTTTAATGGCTGAGAAAGATGCTTTTACATTCTTACATGACAAAGCTTCTCATTGGTGGTAAGCTATCAAACACTGAAGCATAAAATCTGATATTCAAAAGCATTCTGGGGGGCGGGCACCTGGCTGGCTCAGTTGGTAGAGCATGGAACTCTCAGTCTCAGGGTCCCGAATTCAAGCCCCGCTTTGGGCGTAGAGCTTACGTTTAAAAAATAACCATAAAGCAATAAAAAGTATTCTGGGAAGAAGCTATAGTTCTTCATTAAAATTTTTAAAGATATTTGGAACTGTTATATATGTAAATTCATCATTTACAAATTTCCTAATACTCTTATGTTTTATTTTCTTATAAAAATCGTGCAGGCAAGGCAATGATTTTTTTTCATTAAGCTCCATGTGGAGGCCTCAAATCTCTTCCCGTTGCTACCCCAGTAGGCTGAACAAATATTCTTTTCCACGCTCACGTTGGGAATCGCTCCCCTAAGCTAATCACCTAAGTCCTTTGAGGATGTACCACTCATTCTCCTGGTCAACTATTTTGGATTTAAGGAAAATTAGCAATATTTTGCTCCTGGTCCCTTCCTCCTAGCCCATCCTGTCTGTTCCAGCTCCATTAATTAAGAAAAATTTCAAACATTCAGAAAAGTTGCAAGCTTGGGGCGGGGGGGGGGGGGGGGGGGGGGGGGGNGGATGGACAAAACAGGTGATGGGGATTAAGGAGCACACCTGTGATGAGTATCAGGTGATGTAGGGAAGTGTTGAATCACTATACTGTATACCTGAAACTAATATAACACTGTATTTTAACTAATAGAATTAAAATAAAAACTTTAAAAAAGAAAAGCTGAAAGCTCAGTACTGTAAACAACTCAATACCCACCATCTGCACTGAACTATTGCTAATATTTTTCCATATGTTGCTTTCTCCTTCTGTCTCTGTCCTTAAATACATTGTGGACATTACAATATCTTACCCGTAAGTGCTTCAGCATCCATTTCCTAAAAATAAGGACATTCTCCTACATGACCCCAGTGTAATTGTGACATTCTTAAAAATGAAAAAAAAGTCACTAAAATCATCTAACAGCTATTCAATTTTCAAATCTCTTCAGGAGATTTCAAAGTTTATATACTCCATTTGTTTTGATTTGTTTCTTTTTTTTTTTTTCCTTTGGCCTCTCCTGAACTGAAACAGTCCCCCATCCTTCCTCAACCTCCTCTCCTTCCCGCCATGAAATTAGCTGGGTGAAGGGATCAGGCAACACAGAGTCTCACAAGCACCCTACATCCCAGCCTTGCCGAGAGCATCCTTGCTTCATCCTGTTAAAAACTGCTACTCCGTTAAGTTTTGTTCCTTCAGCACATGTCACCTACTCCTCCTCCTTCCATTGCTGCCTTTTACTGATTCCTTGATCAATGTCCTCTTTTTTTAAGTTTTATTTATTTAAGGAATCTCTACACCCCCAAGATCAAGAGTCGCATGCTCTTCAGCCTGAGCCAGCCAGGCACCCCTGATCACTGTTTTTCAAATTTAACCCCCCAGCTAATTCAGAGGACCCTATCCTCACAGTCCTATCTGATGGTCAACACCCTTTGACTGTGCATATGAAACACCTCAGAAATCTATCTCTCCTCTTCCATTCCTCATCATTTCTGGCCTTGGTTAATACAGGATTAATACTTTCTGTCTTTTTGCCTTCAGTCTCCTTTCCCCCTCTTCCCATTCCAACCTTCAAACCACAGTCCTTGCTAGGATGATCTTTCTAAAATAAAAATTTGTTCACACGACTCTAAAATCTTTCAATGATTCCTGGGGTCTTTAAAAAGAAAACATTCAGACTCCCTTAATCAAGCCCACAAAACCATTTATGAATTGGGCCCCACCTATCTCAAGAATGTCATTCTCTAACACTTTCCTGCAAAGATCTCCTATCTTGGAAATCTTTGTGGCTTCCCAATCATGCTTTTTCATAGCACCATTGCGCTTGACGGTCCTTCTGTATGGAACAGTCCTCTCCTTTTTCCTGGATGACTCCTACTCAGCATTCAAGGCAGTTTAAGAGTAACAGATTTTTTTGAAGGCTAACCTCATCCTCTTTTTCTGTTAGCTGTAATTATGTAACATTGATGGGCATTCCTATTATATTATTACAGCAAGCTCTAAGGTAGTTAGTGGATTTGTTTCCCCTTCCATACTTGTAAACACCTTCGGAATAATTTTGACAGTCAAACATACTAAACATACTAAAAGCTCCATAAATGCTTCCTAAACAGTTAATAATTAGTTGGAGATAATCCATATCTCATATGGATATGGACACTGCATAGTTTCCCTTTTTGGGGTTTTGTTGGGTATTATTATCGGAGTTCTATTTATTCCCTTCATATCTGAAATTGGGTGATGTTTAGTGATTTTCTACATTACAGAACAATTTGTATAACAAGACAATTATCTGTTCGCTAAGAAATTGGCAAGGAAAGGTTTAAGGTACTTAGGAAAATGAGAGACAGTAAAATGTAGTGGTTGACAAATTCATTAATATATTAAAAGGATTACACATCATGACCAAATAGGATTTATTCCAGGAGTGCAAGACTGGTTCAACATACAAAAATCAATCAAAGTTATACACCACATTATTGTGGTAATTCCACTATTGGGTATTACCCAGAGAAAACAA